AAGTATTGATACAGTAATTGCAAGAATTACCTATAGAATTGATTATATTATTTTTCGATTGTGAAGCTCTATATTGTCATATCCAATTTTATAGGAGCGATCATGGTTGTATCAAGCTAAAACTCGAAATGACTAAGGCCATGGTATAATGACAATTGGAAAAGGTAATGATAAAATTGTGCTTCAAATGTACTCTGTCCAATATCATGGAGAAACTCAATTGGCCAATTCAGAATTCATGTCAAATTGTGAAGATAAGTCTACAGAAGAAGAAATTGGTGCACTTGACTCAATTTCTGTTGATACAAGGTAAATTATCGAGCACAGTAGAATGAACTACCAATGCAGGGGACCGAGAAAGTACTTAGTTCCTCTAGATGTTATTGATGATTCTGATCATATGGTTGTATATTGGATGAAGAGACACAATGTTAATCATGTTAGTCCTATAGAACTGAAGTTGGAAAGTTCTAATATGTCAAATTTTATGAAAGATCTTGGAATTGAGCAAAACATCAGTCCAAGGACTCTTGAAATTCCACGATGTCAACCAATTAATTTAGGTACAAGGGAGGCTCTCCAAATCATTCAGATTTATGATGGTATAAAAGGTAAGGAGAAAGAAATTTGGATGGGTTACTTTTTAACACATAAAACTGCTTTCGCATGATTTTATGTAAATTTGAAAGGAATTTCAGTTGAAGTTTGTGAGCATTAAATTATATTGGAAGAAAACGCTACACCAATACGCCAAAGACAACATCGACTTAATCCAAAATACTCACTTATAGTAAAAGAAGAACTGGATAAATTCTTGGAGGTTGGATTTATCTATCCAATTTCTTTTAGTGAATGGATTTCACCAATTGTTATGGTATCAAAAAAGAATGGAAAAATTCACATCTGTCAAATTTTTGCAAATTAAATACGGCTGCCAAGAAGGATTATTTTCCTTTAGCATTCATGGATAGTATATTGGATGTTGTCGCTAGACATGAATGTTATTCATTTCTTGATCGATTCTTCGATTATAATCAAGTTAAGTTTGCAAAAGAAGACCAGTTAAAAACTACTTTTACTATGGATTGGGAGACCTTTACCTATAAGGTTATGCCATTTGGACTTTGTAATGCACTTGTTACATTTCAGAGGGTTATGACACAAGCGTTCTAAGATTATCTACAAATTTCAATGGAAATATTTCTAGATGATTTTTGTACATTTAGTATAAGAGCCAGGCATTTAGAATGTCTAGGTCAATGTTTGAATCAATGTGCCAAATATGAAATTTCTTTAAATTCGAAAAAGTACCAATTTGGTGTGCCTACTAGTAAACTGTTGGATCATATAGTTTTGATGGCAGACATTGGTACAGATCCAGATAAAATAAAGATTATAGTAGAATTAAAGCAACCAGATACTATTATGGAAGTTTGAACATTTTTCGGCCATGTCAATTATTATCAATGATTTATCTATCTATTCGTAGTTATATACCTTTCCTTAACAAATCTCTTGAAGAAACCACCAACCGATGGGACCAATCCATTTTGGACAAAAGAATGTACAATTGCATTTGGAACATTAAAACAAAAATTGATTTTAGTACCAGTATTAGTGGCACCTTGTTGAACAAAACCATTCCAAGTATATGTCGATGCATTTAATGTCCCGATTGATTCTGTGCTAAGCCAGAAAAATGACCGGGGTTTTGATCACTCTATTTATTATGCAATTCGTCAATTGGTAGTAGCTGAAAGAAATTATACAAGAATTGAAAGAAAAGCATTGAGGATGATTTATTCTGTACAAAAGTTTCAACATTATCTTCTTGGTTATAAATTTGTTTTCCATATCGACTATGATGTTTTAAAATATATGATTAATAAGCTTCAATTCAGGTAAGACCAAAAAAATTACATTCCAATACAGACCATTTATCTCGGTTATCTAATATATTGGATAATGAACCCATTAATGATGCACTACCCAATGCAAAACTGTTTGTGGTAGATGTAATTACTCCGGAGTATAGTGAAATAATTCAATACTTGACATTTCAAATCTTCCCACCCAATTTTAATGAAAAGCTTAAACGACACTTAATATTAAAATGTATAACTTATTTGATGATTGGTGAAGTTTTATATAAACAAGGCAAAGATGGAGTTTTGCGACGATATATTTATCAGACTGAAGTGAGTACTATATTGGAAGGTTACCACTTGGACAGTTGTGGTGGACATTTTGCGGGGGATAGCACGGCTCGTAAAGCTTTACAGGCTGGTTATTGGTGGCCAACAATGTTTGCAGATGTCGACCAATTTATCCGTCATTGTGACTCATGTCAGAGAATGGATCAACCTACAAGAACTTCAGCAATGCCATTGATACCAATTTTGGCTCAAGTGCCTTTTGAAAAATGGAGAATTGATTTTGTAGGACCAAATGCACTAGCCTCGAGAAATGGACAAAAATGGTATATACTGGTAGCAACGGATTACGTAACAAAATGGACTGAAGCCATAGCTACGAAAATGGATAGTGCAAGTACAGTAGCAACCTTTTTGTATGAAAATATTATTACATGGTTCGGTAGTCTATAAAAATTGGTTAATGATCGAGGAACTTATTTTATAAATACTACAATCGAAGCACTTATGGCTAAATATGAGACAAAATATTGTAAGACTACACCATATCATCTTAGAGTCAATGGACAAATTGAAAAGACTAATGGAATTTAATGTAAAATCTTAACAAAAATAGTTTCATGAGCGGAAACAGATTGTGACACTAAGTTGTTCGCACCTTTATAGGCATACCGTACTGCATATAAAGTTACTACCAATGCTACCCCTTTTCAATTGGTTTATGGCCAGGAAGCAATATTACCTATTGAATTAGAAGTCCAAAGTTTACGAATTGCTATAGATAATAGATTAGGAGATCATGATTCATTACGGCACCGTCTAGAAGAATTGAAAAAATTGGATGAAACTAGAGCCAATGCATTAATGATAATGGAAATTACACAAAAACGAAGGAAGACTTATTATGATAGTAAGCTTAGACCAAAGGCTTTTATGCCAAATGATTTGATACTTCTTTATGATAGCTAATTTAAAAATTTTTGAAGAAAATTTCAAGTTCAATGGCATGAGCCATATCGAATTATTGACAGATTTTCAAATAGTTCAGTATAATTGGAAGATTTTATAGGTACTAAATTTACAACACAGATCAATGGCAATCTGCTTAAACTTTACTATACATAAATTCGGGACGGTTTTTTTGTTACAAAAGAGGGAGTCGACTCTACTGATTGGACTATAGTAAGAAGTAGGAGGGAGGCTTTTAATAAGCATTGTATTTTCTTTTGTGGAAAAAGAGAAGATGGCGAACATGGTGTCTGAGAAAGCAAGGATGGAGATCAATTGGAAGGAACAACAAGAGCGGCTGCAGGTAGAGGTTGCGATGTTGCAGACTAAACTAGTCGCATTAGAGAAGGAGGCCAATAATTTAGTACGGACCAATATGCCAGTTTCAACGATAACACCTTCAGAGATACCTTTGAAACTGACAGAAGAATGGCAGAAGATGTTGGAGGAGTACGACAATCAAATTGCCGTCTTGAGTCTCAAGTACGAAAATTGGGTTTGTTGAATGAAGATTTGATGGCGTGTTTGGATAGAAAAACATCAAACACAGAGGGAGACGATAAAGATGTAGCACAGGAGAAGGTCACCAATTCAAAGAGTGGTAAGCCAACGCCATTGACTGAAGAAGCAAACGCTGCTACGTCTTTATAAGTTGAGGCTAAATAATATTTGCGAGGGCTTTGCACAATTAGGAGTGGAGCTATGTAGAGTAGATAAATAAATTTTGTAGTAAGTTACTGGTTAGTTATTGACAACCTTGAGAATTAGACTTATGATTAGGCAGTTTAGTTGATAATAGTAGATTGTTAGTGGAACAAATGGTTAAGAATTCAAAGGATCATAACCTTTGGAATTTGTTGGCAGACGATCCATCTTTTGGTAGTATAAAGAGGTTGAGAAAAGGGAGATTAGGGCCAGACTGTGATAGTCGTAAGCTAGGGTAAGCTTGGTACTACCTCTTTGTTTTTTTTTGCTTTTATTATTTCTTTATGAAGAATTGTGATTGAGAGAAGTATTGTTAAAATTGTGATTAGAATATTATGGAATATGACTTTAGACTGACCGTTTTGGAAAAAATCTGTGACCTTGAGAATTGAGATTACCGAATTATGTTGTGTTAAATGAAGATATTGAATTCTGTGTGATGAATTGATAAACTGAATATAATAAGTAAGTTGGAGATCAGTAATTGAATATATATAAACCGCAAAGAGAGTAAGTGGGAGATAAACTGATAAGAATATGGAAGTATTGTTGAATTGATAGTCGTAGAATGGATTATGTGTTGAATTAAGACAGAAGTAGTAAGCCTTGGTGTTTTGTAGTTTAATAATTGATTTTAGATAGCTAGAGTATAGTCAATTGTGACACTAACAGACCCAATTCATATAACCAATCTTTCCTCGTGTTCGAACCCACCTCTATTAGTTCAATTGCTTTGGTATATTGAAGCTTGAACATAACGAGAACAACACTTATCTATGTAGTCTTAACTTTTAGTACAAAATAGAGATGAAACTTGTAATCAATAATACATAGTTATTTTAAAACTAAATAAATTATATTTATAAATGATGAAATCAAGTTTTATATTGTCTCAAATATTATTGTTATTCAAAGTGATTTAAATATAATTTAATTAATTATTTAATTTTTTTTGGTTATGCCCCCTCTCCTATTTTTTTAAAAGAAAAACCTAGTAGGCTCAACATCATTTCCTAATTATCAGTTTGATTGGATACGACCATACCACCAAATTGTGCAATCAATGGGTCCCTGATGATACAGGCGAGATTCCCACAATCTAGAGTAAGGAATCACGAATAGAAACATTCAACAATGGGCAATGTCTGGACACACAGTGAGAGAGAGAGCAGTGATTACATACATAGGGGAATGTTAAATCGACCCTCCGTTCCAAGCCCTCGTCATCGACCCCCTCCGTTCCCAGCCCTCATCATCGACCCCCTCCGTTCCCAGCCCTCATCATCGACCCCCTCCGTTCCCAGCCCTCATCATCGACCCCCTCCGTTCCCAGCCCTCATCATCGACCCCCTCCGTTCCCAGCCCTCATCATCGACCCCCTCCGTTCCCAGCCCTCATCATCGACCCCCTCCGTTCCCAGCCCTCATCATCGACCCCAAATGAGTTCAGGAGATGCACACTCCCCAAGCACACCGGCACCGCCCTCCACATGCATGCTTTTCTTCACACTTGTACTCTCCATTGTTCCACACTCCAGCTCCTCAGTTCCACAGCACTCAACATCCTCATCTCATTCACTCTCTACCCAAACCCCGCATTCCACATCGGCTGTTGCATGAAAACAAATTGAGTCATGACTTCAATGAATCTCTTTGGCAATCCATTCAAAAGCTCAGCAATCTAAGATGACTAGTTAGACGTGCAAAACATTACCTCAAATATGTTGTGTTCTAGCTTTGCACGAGTGCTGTCCTTTTTACAACGTTTGCACCACCATAGTGATTATGCGACGCAACCCTAAATTTTATTAAAATGGTACGTGCAGGTCATGGCCATGCGTTATTCTAGAGGGACAGTCTTTGCCGGTTGTCACAGTGCACTTTGGGTAAGTAAAACAAATGAGATTTTCTTGCATGTTTTGTAGTACAGACTTTTCTTTTTTGTTATGTTACCTGTATTTCGTAATTTGAAGGTGTGTTCTATGTGCATGCATGGATTTATCAGAGTACTTAAGAATGGTGTGGATGGCTACTCATTTGTGTAGTTGAACAATTAGGTTGAAAGTTTATCCTCGGTAATCTGCAAATGTGTTGTGAGCTATTGTACTGTTTTTCTAATTTTAAAATTTAGCTCCTATGCATCGGCGATGTCTTCAAAACATGGAAGTAAGTATCCTCCACTGGAAGTAAGTATCCTCCATGGAAGTAAGTATCCTCCACTGCTGCCTGCCTGTTCGTGACCAGGTTCTGATGTGAGAGAGAGAGCTTGGTCTTGCATTGTGATGAATGAGGTGATGAATGAATGAATGAATGCATTGTACTACACCAAGTCTACTTCTTCTTGCCAAGCCCCACCTCCCTCACTTATCACAACCCCCGCTGATTCAGTTTGGGTTGCCAACGCGGTCTCCTCTCCGACCATCGCCCATGCGTCGATTGATGCTCTGATTGATTGAATGCTCTGGGTTCAATCAATTTTTATTTGCTACAGTCAACTTCTTCTCACTGAATACGCGATTGCTTTGATGGAGATTTGTTGTAAGTTTGTCTGTCCTGACGTAGAGTTACTCTTCGTCCAGGAGTGTTCCTTATCCTCTCCTTGATATATTTTTTTTTCCCCCGAGTTTTGTTACGCAATGTTGTTCAACTTTGCAAAGTGACCACAGTGGGCATGAAAGATAGTGGCACCATTCTCATGGGTTTGAAACTTGTGGATGCGGCTCTTTTTCTCAACCAGAGTTGTTTGGTACGACACGGACTGCGTTGCTTACATCAAAGTCGCTTCTCAGGATTGTGTTGTCGGTAAAAATAGAACATGTTTGACGCAATGATTTGATGGACAGCTGCTTTCGTTGAATGCGGGGTCAGTGCCAATCTGATGACGCTTCCCTGTCCTTCAATACTGAGTGATGTCACAGCATTTTGAGCCCCCAGGTCAAGATTAGAGACCCAAATGGTTTCACGTATTGTTATTTCAACTTAATACCAATATGTGGTACTAAGTCTTCTACCATTGGCTGCAAGACGACAAGACTGATGTGGACACAATTCAAACCTTGTGTTGTTAAACGTACCGCAGTTTCATAGAATGGTAAATATTTCTTTTGATCAAACCTGGAAACCGACTATTATAAGAGCCTATTACCCACATGGTTTCAGTGCATTATTGCTGCTAGTCCTTTTTGGACGTCAACAAAACTTCACGGGAGAGAAAACGCACAAACTTTCCACAGAACAGTATTTGCTGCAGTAAATCTAGCACCTATCACGTGCGTTAGTGAACGTAATTATTGTGAGAGCCAAGGGACGTGAGATTCGAATCCAGATTAATGGGTGCACAGATCCAGAAATCCATCGTCAATGATTTCTACCTTAAGTTGCAAGTTACCTTTTCTCCCCCACAAAGTCATCACTGCTGAGGCAATAACTGAGGCAAACAGATTTGGAACCTATCCCTTCGGCAAGAAGTTCCAAGGAAGCTTCTACTCCCTGAACCAGTGCATAGAGCGTGTGCATATTGCAGGACACATCATTTATGGAATGAGTTACAAGGGTTGATGAGGAAGCATCCAATCGAATGACAACACCTTCACAAAAAACAAAAGAGCAATTATCACGACTTGATCAGCCAACAGACGGTTGCCGTGTGTCGAATTTCAGTCTGTAGATGGCAAGTGCTAGAACAGTGCTGGAGTTCTCGCGAGTTGCTGTAGAATGTGACGAAAATGAGCGGTCGTAACCTTGAAGACGTAATTCAATGGGGAGCATAATGGTAAAGGGGGAACTGGGGGGGAGTCGGCTGGACTCACTGTTGTCTGCAAGAACTCCAGATTTCGTCGACAGAGCATCGGGCTGAGCCAACGAGCGAAAGCGCGACGAAATTTCGTCACGTGGTGCGCTGCTTCCGCCTTCGACGAGCTAATGGGGAGGAATTTCTTTAGCCACCAACGTGGACTCGAGGATGAATTTTTCATGAACAACGTTTTGTGTGGAGGGACGGCTTTCGTCGGGCACAATGGAAAGAAAGGTCGTCAGTCTTTCGTGGTTTGAACCGATTGCGAGGAACGATGCTCTTTCCAGGTGCGGGGCGAGTGTCTGCTCCAGTTTCTCGGCATCGTCTTTGTCTGTAATGTCAATCCAGTGTCAGGGTGGTGACGGAACTCCCGCTTGCCCTTTGTCTGCAGACGATCTTGAGGCGAAATTTGGACCAATATGGTGTCGTAGAGAGGGTTGTGGACCAGTTTGAGGAGAATTTTGTGATGGTTTTGAAAGGGCGAGGGTTTGCTGTAGGTGATGATGGCGGACGTGGAAATGGAACAGGGTAACCTGGGGGAGATGGTCGAAAGATTTCCATGGGGATTCCACATGGGAGAAGCGAGATTGAGAGGAGATTTTGATAGCAGTGAGTTAGGGCAGTATGATGGGGCATGGGAGCTGGAGGAAGGTCCAAGGGATTGGATGCAAGTGGATGTTAGTGATGATGAAGGTGTCAGTCAGCCGGTGCAGGATGAGGCGGACGAACCCGAGGTTTTTATTGATGATATACTAAGTGTCATTGAGGAAGATTCATCTTCGGTGAGGAGCTTCTCTCGACTTCGTTGTTGTGCATTGCCTCCATGGTTTAAGGTTTTAGGATCTGATTGAAGAACCAGTGGCTCTTGCTGCAGCTTAATTGATACAATCATACGTGCAAATATTTCTTGATTTTTCTCAAGATCTATGGCTTTACCACATCAGGTGTCAGCTCATATCTCGAATTTCGTGAGAATCTCTATTCAGCTATGGAGAGAGCTGCAGAACTTACAGTTTACAATCTCGAGTATTATTCTTTAGGCTATGCTTGTCGTACTACGTACTCCTTCCCGAGTGATTGTTGATTATTCGAGTTACTTCACAGGCAGCACAAAACTCTATTGTGGATGAAGGATCAGATAAAACGATGCTTCTTCTTGGGCCTCCTGTCTCGCAGCAAGAGATGGAGATTGCACCGCATACACCTGCAGTGCCCGAGGGACATTATGACGTAGATCCGGCGCCTTCATTGTATCAGACCACCCCAGATCTCTCCTGGCAGCATGATTTGAATGGGAATGGAGAAGGTTAGATTTCTTAGGATTTATTCCGTTTTTCCAAATCCCTGAGATATACACATGGCCTCTTTGACACGCGATATATCTGTCTTTATGATTCTTTGAATTGCCAGATTTGATGTCATGGGCAGAGGGACCAAAATTGACGAAATCTTAACTTCATGTAACGCTAACTCATTCGTTCTTGCTTGCGTAGCTGGCCTCGAAGATACTTCAGATGAGATACTCTCCTTGGACAATATAGGCAGGGGCACAATATGGTATTTTATAGAACCTACTCAAGATCTCGATTACGAAAGACCACAGAAAAATGATGGATCTGTACTAGTTTCAAATAGGACGTATCTTGAAAGGCTTTCGCCCGGCGTATCTAGGCCTAGTCGTTCTACTTCCAGTTCGCCAGTCACCATGTTAGACAATTCGTCAAGACACGAGTACGTGTTCGAAAATCCTTTTGAGCGAAAGAGTATGATCCCAAGCACTAGGGAATTAAACTTCAATGGCCATCCTATTGTCGATCTTTCAAGTGATGACAGCGATGGAGTGGAGGAGGAATCTGAGCTGAGGGAGCTAAATAGTGGATTACGAAGAAAACGAAACTTGCTCAGCTGGGGCGGTGGTGGTATGAAGAGACCGCGAGAGTCTATACACCGGTATTACATGCAACCTAGTAGTCACCAGTACTCTGAATTCCCTTTTTCGCAGATTGCTAAAACGGCACCTGAAATATATCCTTCTTTACACAGAACTCAAACTTGGGATCCCAGCTCCAAGTACTCTTTGCAATTTGGTAGACTAGAAGCCTCTGTTACCACTCCCACATCTTTTAGGAGTATTCCTGGTAATGAATCTCATAAAAGTATGTCTGTCTCTAGAGATACTTTCTCAAGTAGCTGGATAAGTTTAGCAACAAGGACTAGTTCTGGTGAGGTGAGCACATCGTACGACAGGAGGGTGTTGCCTGGGACCATGGCGAATTCTATAACAGGATCAATCAATGGAACGGTCATAGCTGCTGCAGTGGATCCTGTGAAGCGGAGCGAGGAGTTAGCGATCCAAGCTGTTGTCCAGGTACTGATGGTGTGGTTATTGATATATCCCCAAGTTCAGGGTCTCGAAGTGATAAATATCTTCCTGCTGCCTTCCTTTCACGCATATCCAGTTTTGCTGTAAGCCTCGCATCTTTCATTGCTGTCGGAAGATGTACGCCTTGGTTCACCTCACGGACAATGTGTTCTACACGTCGAATCTTCCTGGTTCAACAAGTTTTTAGTTACCTTTTGATCGTCTAGCTTTGGATCCCTGTTATTATCTGTAAAATTGGTGCATTTACGCTAATACTTGAACAATTATGTTTCTTAGGCTTTTTCATTAGGGGATGAAAAGGAAGAGGCAACTCCTGATCAAGACCTTTTAACCATGACACTTCTCAAGCATCAGGTATTAAGAGCTTATGATTTACGCTATTATTGTTCTCTTACTCTTGTCCTGCAATGTGTGAATTGCTCTTCTTACCTCTTCGTTAGTAGTCTTATGTAGGCAACTTTTGCCTCAATTTCTGTGCTGCAGAGGATAGCGCTGGCGTGGATGGTGAACAGAGAAAGTGGTAGCCACGAACCTTGTGGAGGCATTTTAGCTGATGATCAGGCGAGCTTTTATTGCAGAAATTTGTACTTTTTCTCCTTTTCTATTAATGGGTCTACTTATGATGTTGATCTTGCATCTATCTATTCCAATTCGCTAAATGACTGTGTCTAATTGGTGGTAATTGATTATAGGGGTTGGGTAAAACTATATCTACTATTTCTCTTATACTGAAGAATAGGGCTCCGGTTCAAAAATCAGGTTCAAGCAGTGTACAGTCTCTTCGACCGGAGGGTTCTACAGTTGATCTTGAAGATTACGAAGACGAAGAAGAGCAAGCATCACAAGAAAGAAAACTCGAAACTAGGCAATGTTCATCATCTCCTAACGAAAATGGCTCTCAGCAACAGCTGGACGATCCTAGGTCCAGCCAATCATCGAATAAAGGCAGGCCAGCTGCTGGAACTCTTGTTGTATGTCCTACCAGTGTTTTGCGTCAGTGGGCGCAAGAGATTAGAGACAAGGTTGCTACGAAGGCAGGCTTATCAGTCTTGGTGTACCATGGGAGCAATCGGATAAAGGATCCGCAGGAAATTGCCAAGTTCGATGTGGTTCTTTCGACTTACTCAATTGTAAGCATGGAGGTTCCAAAGCAGGCACTTCCCGAAGAGAGAGATGAAGAAAATAGGAGGAATGGTTCTGAATATGAGTTCGTCCCTTTCACAAAACCTAAAAAAGAAAAGGCTAAGAAGGGAAAGGTCAAAGGTAAAGGAGCAGGTGCAGACGGCGATACTCCTGACTCTGGACCTTTGGCCCGGGTCGCTTGGTTTAGAGTTGTCCTGGATGAAGCTCAGAGTATTAAGAACTACCGAACCCAGGTTTCTCGTGCTGCATGGGGTCTTCGAGCTAAAAGGCGATGGTGTCTTAGTGGAACGCCTATTCAGAACTCCGTGGATGATCTCTTTAGCTACTTCCGCTTTCTTCGTTACTCTCCATGGGATGCCTATGAAAAGTTTCAGCGTGACATAAAGGAGCCTGTTGGGCGGAACCCAAGTGAAGGCTATAAAAAGCTTCAAGCAATTTTGAAACCGGTAGTTTTGAGGCGTACCAAAAGTGAGTGTTCTGTTACACTGAGATCCTTAATTTTTGCAATATGGTGATAAGTTCATTATTGTTTGTATCTAGTTGTCAAAATGACATTTAAATTGCCCCTTGATGTGGGTTTATGCAGCTTGATTATTACTGGTATAGGAAATAGGATTTCTAACTTCCAGGGCTCGATTGTTTTATTGTAGCTTCTCTTCTTGATGGAAAGCCCATAGTCAATCTACCTCCAAGAATCGTAAAACTCCAGCAAGCAGAATTTAGTTTGGATGAGCGATCCTTTTATGAAAACTTGGAGATCGAATCACGGGAACAGTTTCAGGTTGGTTTCACTAGTAGTGTCATATCCTAATTCTTGTTTGCTGCACTGTAGAATCTTGGGATAATTGAATGTTGAGTATTTGAAATGTGGATCTAGGCATCTGAGTCTCTTACAACGTCACGTCCCAAGAAATTGATCTAGTTGTAATATGACGACTGTTCGCTACTGTTAATTTAGTGCTTCTTTTGATATTTTTTAAGGTATGGTTATGTGATCCGTAATCATGAGATTTCGAATTTTAGGGTGAGTATTGATTTACAGACGGTCATAATAATTATTCTGTCCATAGATGAATGATTTATGATCTAAAGATATGTAGAATTTATGGTGTCATGTTCCTGAGATCTTCTGCCTCTGTAAGGCATCTTGGAAGTCCAGTTAGTTTGTATGAAAGCGTACCTCATCATGAATGTGGTCAATTTGCAGATGTACGCTGCAGCTGGAACTGTTCAGAATAATTATGTGAACATTCTTTGGATGTTGCTGCGGCTTCGTCAGGCATGTGATCATCCTATGCTTGTCAAAAAATGTGCCAAGGGTGAAGCTTTTCAGAAAACGACTATAGATGCAGTTCGGAAGCTCCCCCTTAGTCTGCGTAGTGAACTAATTCAGTGCTTGGAAGGTGGTAGGACGATTTGTCACGTTTGCCAGGTATGTTTTACTTCTATACAAGTCAATTCTTACATATAGAATCATGTAATGTTGGAAATTTTACCTTTTGCAATGTATTTCTATTTACATTATTTTGTTCCTTCCTATCTTTCTTACTTTTGTTCTTCAAATTTATGCTTTTCAAGTATAATTGAAAGGACAACGGATTGGTTGTACTAATTTGGAAATTTTCAGAGCAGTCCGACTTTATGTTTTTTTGTCACCCACTTGGGCTATTTGTAATTTATGGAGTGAACGCTGATTCGGTGCTCTCATTGTTGACTGTTTGGAATATCTATATGTTAAGCATACCTGGGCTGTACATCTGCATGTGTTCATCATTTTTTTGTGTGCTCTTTCCAGGATGCACCTGAAGATCCAGTGGTCAGCATATGTGCGCATGTGTTCTGTAGACAATGTATATCTGAGCAGATGAATGGCGATGAAACCTGCCCGTCCCCCAAGTGCAAGAGATCACTCAACAACTCCTCGTTATTCACACTTTCTGCTTTGAAGGACCTAGGGGTTGGTGGAGTTGAAAACCTTGGAAATGAAGTGAAAAGCATAGAGCCTGCCGTGACAGAGGTGGAACAAACTTGGAACACATCTTCCAAGATTGATGCTATGATGAATACATTGCAGGCCTTGCCAAAAATAAGTGTTCTTGTAGAGGATGGAAAGATTGTCGAGGGATCTAAAGCAGAATTATTATTGAAATCAGAAGCTTTGGAAATCGAGCAGGGTGAAACCCTGGGTACGGGTTTACGAGAGGTTTCTGAGTCGATTAAAATCGAGAAGGTTGACTCGACTGAAAAGGCTATTGTATTTTCACAATGGACTAGCATGCTTGATCTTCTAGAATTACCATTGAAGAAATCAGGATTATGCTATCGGAGACTGGATGGCACCATGTCGGTTGTTGCTCGAGATCGAGCTGTCTCTGATTTCAACACGCTTCCAGAGGTTTGCTCTTGTTCTGGTGAAACTGGTGTTGCCTTTCCATCAAATCTCTTCCTATATCGGTAGGATGCAAATAGCTCGTCTTGTGGTATTCTAATGTGGTTGTAATGGAATTGTTACAGGTGACGGTCATGATTATGTCTCTTAAAGCTGCAAGTCTAGGATTGAATATGGTGGCTGCAAGTCATGTGCTTTTATTGGACGTATGGTGGAATCCCACCACTGAAGATCAAGCAATTGATCGAGCACATCGCATTGGCCAGACGCGTACTGTAAATGTCTCGCGATTTACAGTTAAAAACACCATTGAAGATCGTATTTTAGCATTACAGGTTTGCTTACAATCCATCTCCACAATGGTAGTGTTTTGCAGAATGCCATATTTGTCTTTTAAAGCTGATGGATATGTGTCTTTCATTTGTCTTTTTTTTTTTTTTTTTTTTAAATTAATTTTTTAAATAAATCTATTCTAGGTAGTTCTCACATTTCTGAGTCCGGGGAATTTCATGCAGGAACGGAAAAGACAGATTGTGGCATCTGCTTTTGGGGAAAATGACGGAGGTGAACAAAAAAATCGCCTGACAGTAGAGGACCTACGCTATCTTTTCCGAGTCTAACTGACTCTATCCTGTGTATTTTAATATGACCGCTGTTTCTGACATGTATCATTCCCCAAATACAACTGCAGAAGTAGTGGACTTTGTCGGAAATTGTTCTACAGGAGGACAGTTTTGCCATTCTGGGGCCCAGGCGCGTAGCCTGTAGGGTATCGGATAGCCTCCTCAAACACGTCAATTGATCCCTTCCTTGGTAGTGACCTCTAACCTTGTAGTCACTATCTTGATGACAATTATTTCCAAGGTTGTGTATCGTCTTATAGTTTCAGATTGCAGGTCTGTGAAACCTTACAGCTCAAGTCTCATTCCTGAGTTACCTTGTAGCCAATTGGAATACCCTGAAAGCGCCAACAGTGGATTACTGAGGAGGCATTCTTTTTTTCATTTTGTACACTAGTTCGTATTGGAATGAAATCTTAGCTTAGTGGTTCTGATTAAATTTTGCAAAACGCCAAGTATCTATAATATTCTGAAATTTCCGTCAGATTTGATATATGTTTGTAGTGGTAATGATTAGTGCAGTAACCTGGTGATGATTGACACTTTGATTGATCATACGCTGCATTCACAAGAAGTACATCTAAAAGTTGCTGTTTACATTGTGCATGAATAATATCCACTGTCGTCTACACTATTCTGTAGATGAACATAAAATCAACAGAAATTTCTGAACTTTTGACCACTTGTAAAGACCTGCAAGCTTTTCCAGGTTACAAGCTTCTGATTAAGGTAGACATAATCTATTTTCTATGCTGAGGAATTGATGATTGCAGTCAAGTTCATGTATTAGTGTGTTGGTTGTAGTACTAGAAATTTCTTGAAAAGTTTTGTGGATTATGGGAATGGGTAATTATGTGGAGTATTTAGTATTAATAGAGAAGTACTGAAAATGGGAATACATTTTGCTTGTTCTTGTTTGAATGTAGTTGATATATTTCCAAATTCAAATATTTAATGAATTGATAAATATTTTTTGGTCTTTTTTTTTTGGATATTTCATTAGGATCAAACTTAAATTTAAGCAATATATACAATTATTTTAAATCTAATATTAAATCTCAAATTTAAAATTTTAATATAATATATATTCTATAATTTAAAATATTGTTAAATTAGTAATAAGTATCAAATTCAATAGGAGGATGAACACATCAACTACTTCCTAAGGCAATAAAAGGTGATTGGATTATAGTCTATGATAATAGTTTACATAACCAATATAGTACATTATAAAAGTTTTTTAAATATTGGTTCGGACCATATATTATAATAGAAGTCTATAACAATAGCACACACTTCTTATAAGAATTTGATAGAACAGAATTGATGATACCTTTTGCACTCAAAGCAAGTCAAGTTATTTAGACAAAGAGGTGTAGGCACTTATTTTGATGAAGAACAAAATCTATTAAGTGATATTGAAATAAGAATAGAAGAGCAAATTAAAGATAAAAAATTTGATGAAGATGAAGAAAATCCTACATCAATATAATGAAGAATAATTTGTACATGCCAGAGGATTGAGAGATTTAAGGAAGATAGATGTTGTATTGTAAAATGACTATTAGGTGAAAAAAAAAGAAAAGAAAAACAAATATGTATTATTTTAAAATATTTTGGCTTCACCTTTGCAACATTTGACATGATCTTGCCACAAAATACTTCAATAAGATGCTCCAAATTGTACCAATACATAGTCTTGGAAAGTGATAGCTGCCAACTTTGAAGAATTTTGTAGTAGAGCTATAAGTTCCATCTAGTTGCTCAAATGATCCATAATTACCAATAGATATTTAATTTTATGTAGGATAAGAACAAGTGGCCTATCAAATTCTAAATACCAATAATAATATAAATCTATGACAAATAAAGGCTTCAATTGTAATTATAAGGTGTTGAAGCCTTATCTAATTCAATCATATATTTCACATGAAGAAATATATTAGACAACTTGCAAAAACATGTTAGTCCACTTGTACTATTGTATAATATGGAATGTATGTGTTGCATCTCAAATGTCTAAACTCCTTGTATACTTGTCGTACAAATAAGGGCCTTTGCTTTAGCTAAAGAACCATGTGCTTAATTCTATTTTACCACATCCAAAAAGAAGGTTGTTTTCTTAATGGAACCTTGCAATCTAATATCAAACTTGATCTTATTCTATGGCAAAAAGAATTAATACAAATGCCTCTTATTAAATCTTGTGTAAGAATAGAAGGTCATCCTATAAATTGCTTATAACTTAAGTCTTATCAAGTTCTTCATCTATTCACGATCAAGCAATTTAAATAAAAAACTTAATAACAAAGTAAGATATGCTATTGCATGTCAACTAAGAACTATCTCTTTGTTATAGTTCCAATATCATTTAGCATTGATAAGATCCTTCTTTGGCGCATTTATATTGTAAAAAAGTCCATTTTTATCCACATTGGTGATGCTTGCTTAATATACAATGTCAAAGTCATACTCATGTAGCAATAATATTCATTTGGTAAGCTTACTAAAAAACTTGTTTGATTTAATGAAATATGTTAGAAATTAATAGTTAATCACTTAAATAAACTATTAGTAATATATATATATATATATATATATATATATATATAAGTAGATAATGGTTAAAATTATTGCTAAAATTTATTCTTTGTAAAATAAATAATTAAATTTTATATTCTTATTAATTGTAGAAGAAAATATAATTATATAATCTTATCTTTTATTATCTTATTGAATTAAGATTGCTCCAAGTTTTATTGCCTTCTAATCTATTTATAACTAAAAGGATTCAATAGCATCAAAGTGACAAAGCATAAGAGCTGAATCCAACTTTTATTTGAGCATATAATTTTTTTGATGCTTCTTATAAACTTATATCTATAGTTGATCATTTCTTAAAAAAACATTTAATGGCTTAGCAATTTGGTTTAAATTCTTTATAAATTAATAATAATAATATGTTAAGTTAAAAAAAATCAAAAGACATGACACATTGATTGATATTAGGAACTTTTAGAATGCATCTATATTTGTTTTGTACATACCAAGCAAGTCTCAATTATCATCAATTATTATTATAGATGGATGATTGAATGTTGATGTTATTACTCATTAAGAAAAATACTAAAAATCCAAATTAAGATATTCAAATAAATTGCTTGATCTAATAACAAGCACCATTAATCTTTAGTAAGGTCATGAATTGTTGTATTGCATGTGTAAAAGCCTATAGCTTGTTCTTGTTCATTAGCAATAGATTCTTATAGGTTTAGAAAGTAGCATCTTAAGCCATATATGAACTATGTGCCTAAAATACAAAAGATTTAGAATAGATAATTAATGTAATTAAGACAACTTGTAGTACTTTGGACTTTTTTTATCAAGGCTAATGGTGACTTATCATCTTTGATAACAATCAAAGAGATTTGATGGTCATCTTAAATGTCATCTACTTTACAATTGATAGATTGTGAGATTCTATATAGTACTATAGTAAGTACCAATAATATAACTAAGTTGGTTCAAATTCAATGGATTGATAAATATAAGAGTCTAAGATTGTTGTATCTATAAAGATTGGATAGTCAAGGTATTGTTAAAAGTACTAACTATCATAGCAAATATTTATTTAAGTATCTTCTAAAGAAGAAAATTTCTCTAAAATATATTCTAGTCATGTCAATTGATAAGTAAATTACCAATGGGTGAATCTCATTAAGTTTGTAGAGAGACTAAAGCAAAGAACTTCTAATCTATGACTAATACTATTACATGAATGTCTTTGGCAAAGCCACCTTGTAATAAGTAGATGCTTTTGATTCAACTTCTAGAAGTCTTTATCACTAATAAAAGTAATATTTTATAAAAATTTATCAATGCAATTATAAATAATAAAAGATAATAACTGCCTATAGTATGTAACTAATGGCTTGTATAAATGATGTCAAGCAGCTTACTTAGATATAAATTTATTATCTATATTAATATACCACCTAATATTTAAATTAACTTTCAAAGAAGTTACTAAATTAGTGCTAATGCCTAGAATTAGCTCTATAAAGATAATACCATCATTTGATAGATACCACTAAATAAGATTAGTAAAAATACACAATGAAAAATCAATTTGTACATCCATGGATCTTAATGATGTAATAATTTCTTGATAATGATACAAAAGCCTCCAAAAAATATTCCATGAAAAAAAGTAGCCTTTGCAATATCTTATAGGTACCTCTACATATGTTGTATCTTGTAGTTCTATAATTTTATATATAAATATAAATGTCTACTCCAATAGGAATGTACTACATTCTAAATCTAATGCCAATACATAATAGCCAAACATGGTCACTACCAACAAAATCATAGTAGCAATTACAAATCCCATTTGAAACAATTCTTTTTTTTTTTTTTTTTTTTTTTTTTTTTTGCCATCATTAGCAAACCATTTTGGTATAACAAATGGTTTTAAGGCTTGGTAGCAAAGTAGATGGAAGTAATGGTATTTGCAATGCCAAAAGATAAAAGTAGCTTGAATTATCTAATCTAATTTGATAAATAAAGATGCTTTCTATTACCAAGTGTATCTAGCAACAATAACATAATCTTGGTTGTAGTTGAGGCATAAGTAGCAACTACTACCACCACCTCTCTAAATATACCACATATATGTGTATTTACCCAAGAAGATGTTAACTTCTTTAGCAAAGGTCTCTTTATCTCTATAATTTATTCCAAAGATGCCACAACATTAAATTGCTTCAATAATTCTATAATTTTGACTTCCAAAGCCTTCTCTTTTTTTTGACAAAAGTTGTTTCTTTGAATGAAAAATGAAGCAATAAATTTCTTTATGATTTAGCTTACTTCAATGAAAGTACTTCAAATACTTATGCTTTTGCCTTTATTCTTGATTTAGCTATCTTTATTTTTGGTTTGGATTTCTTTGCACCTTGATCCATCTTCTTTTTAGAAAAAAAAAAAAAAAAGGAATTAGTATTGGCATGGCCTAAATTTTTTCATCTTCAATAGTGTAGGACCTTCTTCAATTGCATCTTTGTTAAATTACTTGTAGAAATAATTGGCTTTTAGAATTTCCACGACTTTGTTATAAATAAGTTTATATTGAAAGCATTTTGCTACTAAAAGATCCATAATTCTTACCAAAATACTTATATCAAATTGATATCACTATTCTAGTAAAATATGATTTATGATATAGATAAATCTAATAATTATTTATCTATTTTAGATAATTTATTTTTGATTAATTAGATTTTAATAAATACACCTTTTAGCTCTATCATAAATCTTGTCAATTGTGTATATATTGTATAAAGAGTGTCTTTTTTCTTATATTAATAATCTTAGATGTAATGAGTATTTTCAAGTATGAATCTTTTATATTTAATTTCTAAATGAGCAATGAAAAAATATAAGGATACATTAAGTGGTAACTTTTGCTATAATAATTAAAGT